TCTGTCTTGCGCGCTCCACAGTCTGCACAAGAGGTATTCGAGATGTCCGCACCCTTGATAGATTCAATAATTCTGACAGATTTTGCATTTTCATCCATTTCCTGGCGGTTCCGACCTTTAGACTGAGTTTTTATAATTGGCTCTTCAGATAATACTGGCGTACCCTTCTTCATGTCGCATTTTCTTTTTTCAGACAAACTTGGTAATGTTCCTCTTCTTTGAAGGGCTTTTTTGGAAAATAACGTTCCAGCACCAGTACTATCTACGTCTTGAGTTAATACCTGATCCAAGTTACGACAGCTGCTTGTTCCGTTAAGAAGACTCTCAATGGCATTGGAAATTACTGCCATCCACGAACTCATATCTTCAGCGGAAATTGCTTGATATATACGTCGATATTGAGGTGTTATGACCTCAAAACAAAAACGACGATCAGCACCTCTTGCTTCTCTTACTGTAGCGAATCGCAAATTTATTGGCTCGTTGTGTGTTTCAAGTTGTTTTTTCCAATTACTGTATTCACAAAGTTGACCTCCCGCCAATACACACCAATATCTTAAAAAAATTTTTTACGATTACTGTATGGCAAATATAAGCAATAACTTTGGAGAAAATTTAACAATACTTACTTATGCCAATTATTTTTTGCAATCGGGTCAACAGTTCCATGTTGCGTTGCTCGTGATGTAGCAAATAGAAATCCTTCTTTCCTCCTGCCAGCAGTTGATGCAGATTCATTGCCCTGTTGATCCAAATCACGAATTCCTTTAAATTTATTTTGTGTCGTATTTAGTGATCCAGCATGAATCAAAGTTTGATTTTCTGCATTGTCTGTCGTACTATCCGTAGATGCACTTCCATTGCAATTATTTGAATTCTCTCCTTCATTGAGAGTCTCGCCCGTGAATGGATTTGCAGTTATTGCTCGAGTCTCCAATGCTCTGCGCCTTTCTTCTCTCTCTTTTCTCATTAGATGAATCTCCTTTGTTGTCTCCGCAACATCAACTGCTAATTTATCCAAACCTGGCTTCAAATTTTGTATACTCATTGCGGTTTGTTGATAAAATGCAAACTGCTTTTCAGCAAAATTCGTCAAATGATATAAAATTTCCTGATCTTTCCTCCCCCCATGTAAGTCTTGCATATACGCATAATAATCGAATCGCTTTAATTCAAAAGTTTTTCGTTTGTTTTGATATTTTGAATCAGTTTCGAGTTTCTTCTTTTCTTTAGCAGAATCAACTTTCATGGATAAATACTTGGATAAAAATTGATAATAATCTCGAGATTCATCCTCGAATTCCTTCTTTTTGCTATCAGCCACTTTAATGTCATTTTCATACATTTTTCGCAGGGGCTCAATAAGGAGAATAGACATTTGATTCGCAAGATTTTCTCTAAGGTGCGCAATTTTTTTAGCAGCATCTTCCAAATAGCTATCCAAAACTGGTTGAAATGCTTGAGGATGAGCTGTTGCTGCTGCCCTTAAGGCCACCATAAGCTCATCATCTGCTTCATTACTGTCCAACATGACTTCATGAGACGCAGACGCAGCCTTAAGTATACGTTTTATATACTGTCTCAATGAACCTGTCTTCTTCTCATATGACGAAAGGGTGGCACGAAACAATGGGCCATCTTCGGGTTCATGTTGAAACATTAAATCATCAGAAGAGCGTCTGCCTCCACTTGAAATTGAGGAGGCGGTCCCAGATGTGTGTGACGACATACCGGGTACTGGAAGATATACTGTATCCGGACTCGACGGACGAACACTGCGTGGAAGGGACCATGGTGCAGATGTAGAAGACTGAAGTAACGATGATGTTCCTGTAAGGAATGACGTTCCATCAAGGGATCCCGTGCTTTTCGACGCGCGATGATAGTAACCTCGTGTGCTATCTGAAGATTTATTAATATAATGACTGTCAAATAATTTTAAAACAAAAGAAATAAACAAAATGAAGAATAATAATAAAATAAAATATTTAGCGCACCGGCAACCCAAAATGTGAAGGCTGCCAATAATTGGAAAGTATTATCTTTTGCATCGTATTCGGCAAACTAAACAAGAGTGAGTCATTAAATATAAAATCATAATAAAAATAGACAAATTTTCAAAACTCACGCAGCAATAGTTTCGCCACCCTCGATGAACTTCGTCCATGTTATGTGGAGCTGACCACATCCAGTTCCATTCCATTTCTAAAGGTTTTATTCCGTCCGATTCATAATTTCCAACTAATGATACCTTTGGATGTTTATGTAACTACATATATATAAGTGTACGTAAAATCGAAATGTATAAGATTAATACAATTGATATTGAATAACTTTGATTTCTTTCTAAAACAATAATATCTACGATGAAAATACGGGGGTTTTTTTTAGAAAAAAAAATCTAAGTGGCAAAACTATACTTTGACTTATCATTATAAAACCAACCCTTAAATATAATTTTTCGTAAGGCTGGCACATTTTCATTAATTCGTTAATAATATTATCCAAGCAGCGTCCAGTAGACTATTTTAAACTAAAAGGTACGTACCATACAACATCAAAAAAATTTTTTTTAACTACTTACGTTGGGGTCATCGTTGAATTCAACTGTTACTATTCTTTCCAACTCTTTTTCACTAGCAACATTGATAAATGTAAGTCCTTTGACATAAGATTTATTTCCATCCGTTTCTCCTATGCTGAATTTGAACTTTAGTTCTAAGCATTTGTCTTTAGCCAATTTAAGTAAAAACTTATTTGGTGATATTGATTTGACGTTAGGGTCTTGAGTAAATTCTAGTAGATCTATAGTGTTTGGAATAGCGGCAATGCCAGCCGAAGTGACAGGGAATGTTATATACGGGTCATGGACGGAATTTGATATTGAAATTTCCGTTATTTGAACTGAAAAATTACAAATAAAGAAAAGTAAAATATTAATATAATGCTTGCACATTCCATGAAAAAGCTGTAAATTAAATAAATTACATCGACTAGGATTTCTTATGTATAAGGTCGGATGATCGTCCAAAGACGAACTCACGCTGCCCATGATGGAAGGTGAAGAAATGAGGCTGTTTTTTTTGGTCGCCCGATTTCCACGAAATATTTGTTAGGTTTCAAATGGAACTAAGGAAAAGGTTAGCAAGAAAGCCGTGGCGAGGGCATATACGTATTAGAAAAATTCAATGAACATAAACGATAAATGTTTTCATCTCTAAACCGGAATTGGTCATAATACTTAATCGGCATGATCACGTTTAACAATTTCTTACGTCAACAACTGTAGTACCAGGTTACGGTAATAATATATACGTATGTACTGTATGTACTAGAGCTGCAGGTGAAACTAAATCACACTGGTGAAACTGGTGACTATCTGAAATCTGATTGGCTATTGCATTCAA